CTTTTAGCTAATTAGAGGTTCCGTTCAGGTTTTAGTGTTCCTCTTATCAAGAGGGTTTCTCCTGAATAAATGAAACCAAGAAGGTTCAGGATCGATGGCGCTCGTCAGAAGAAAGACAATATGGTTAATGACAAAAGATTTCAACAGTATTTTTGAACGGGGCCAACGTAGATCCTTTCCGAAATAATCAAGACGGACTTGACACCCGTCGGAGCCATCAACCTAGTCGAAGAACTAATATTTAAAGACAACTTAATATTCAGAATATGTCGAAGACCTAACGGTTAACGCAATAAAAAAAAACGGAATTGGTTGAATAGAGTTCAAAACCCTGTTGCAACAATTTGTGACCCTATATGAAATGAGGTTAGAATCTCTACACGCAAGCCCGCTAGTGGCCCGCTGGAGGGCCGCCGATGGTAACATTGGCCACCTGTAGGCTGCTAGCAGTCCGCCAGTGGCAACATTGCCGAGACGGATACGCCGGCCGTCCGACAGCGGCAAACGTTAGTCGCATGCCACCCAGTAGCAGATTGATGGCTTGCGTCTAGAGAGGTGTTAACTCATCCCCGACCAACCTTTGTGACCCCATTCTGCCAAGTGACCCTTTAATTTTTTTTTCCTTGCGAGCGATCACGTCTCGCGTTTTGGCATAATGTTTTCGACGCAAGCTTTGCATCCCCGGAAGCAACAACGTGATATAGTATCTTTCTATCTAGATTGGCTCTTGCGCCTTGCACTCGCTGGAAGGGGGTGAAAAATTCTAAATAATTGCTTTGGAAAAGGCATGAATTCATTTTCCCTTAAGGCATAGTAAGTATATATTGAGGTAGCTGAAAACCTTTAGCCCTTTAAGACAGTCAATATCGCGTGCAGAGCTAAAAACCTGGCCCCGTCAAATTTTATTTGTGACTAAAAAATGTAGTACTGACAAATGATCTGGTTATGGCCCTCCTAATCGTCAGAACTAAGAGTAGGTTTTGAGGAGCGTGGAAACACCTCTGAATTGCTGGTGTTCCCAGGTCCACCCTGACCCTGGGTGGAAGCACTTGTAGATATTTTTTTATTTGTAGGTAATTTTTTAATTTGTAGGTATTTTTTGTAGATAAGCCATCTTTAGACTTTCCTGAAGCCACGATATTTCTCAGAATAAAAAAAATATTGATTTTTATCGATTTAGATAAGGATATTGTGTCAAATCGATCACTGATTTTTACAGGGTTACCCGAGCTGATTTTTTTTTTTTTTTTTTTTTTATTTACAAATGTCGTGCCTTAGAAATGTTTTATTTTCATCCATTCATTTTCTACGGATAATCCAGCATTTGCAGGTTATTTAAAGCCAGAAAATATTTTTGGATTGTAATAATCTTCTTTAGATAATAGAGATTTAGTGATACAACTCTTACCAATTAAACCATAGCTGGAATTGGAACTCGGCTCCCCGATTAACAATTCCGAGCCATTATTCATTGCACCACCCGCACATCCAAGCTTACAGCAAATGGTATCCCCAAGGGCTCACCCATCTAGGTATTGACCACGCTCGATGTTGCTCTTTAATTAAAAAAAGTAACGCCACTTTAAATTTATTTTTACAAACAATTGCATGTTTAAAATTTTTACGTAAAATACATCCGCAACAAATATGTGTGTGTCTGTGTGTGTGTGTGTGTGTGTGTGTGTTGTAGTAAAAAAAAAAAAGAAAGAACAGTAAGATATATAATCCGGTGTTCTTATAGATATTTTTATTTTAACAAAACAGTGCTCAATGTAAATTGACAGAGCATTAATATTATAAATTAACTAATTTAAAAATATGGCTCCTTCGCTACACAGGAATTACCAGGTTTCAAAAACCGAAGCTAAAAACTTCAAATTTAATTATATAATTAATTATATAATTCCCTTGAAGATGAAACAGAACTAATGCTTTTAATTTAATTATATAATGAAATTTGATGTTTTTTGAAACATGGTAATTCCTGTGTAGCGAAGGAACCATATTTACAATATATATATATATAACGGAGATATGGTTCTACAGAAGGATGCTGAGGATATTATGTACCGAGCGTGTGAGCAACGTTGAGGTTTCGGAGAGGATGCAAACAAGGAGGAAGCTTATACTTAACATCCGGAAGAGGCAGTTAAAATTTCTGTGACACGTAATGAGAAAGCAGGGCTTGGAGAATCTGATACTCACAGGTCGCATAGAGGGAAAGAGAGACAAGGGATAGCAACGCATGACATGCCTGGTGCAAGTGGATGACAGAACGCGGTCTTGGGAAAGTGGTAGACGGATGAAACTTATTGAGAGATACAAGGTAGAGGGAGAAGTGGAGAGCCATGATCGACTACGTCCTGAAGGGACACGGCACATAAAAAGAAAAGAAGGTTATCGACTCCTACCTCATCCAGACTCTGTTTAGCCTCGTTTTCGTTTTGAAATTCGTAAACAATCGGACTAGTGGAAAATTCTAATCACAACAGCGATCTTAACGAATATTCAGAGATTGTTATTTCGACAATGGCTGTTTGAATATTTTTTTTTCTCCAAGACTTAATTCACTGGCACGTTCCATTCCTTCTCAGATAAAATGTTTACATGTTAGCGTTTTGATATTGCGACTTTTGTGCATTCGAATTGTAAACATCTATTACCCTGGGGCTGTTGTCAAGTCGGAAAACAAGTCGCAAATCGCCGGTTTTGAATTTAAAGTCTTCGATTGGCTGCTTCGGATAGCAGGCTAAAATGGAAATCAAATCAATTCTAAAAGATTCGATAATGGCCGTTAGCTTGAAAAGTTGACATTTCTTCTTGACATGTAAATAACAATTTTGTTTTTCCTTTTCTTTTTCTTTCTTCGATATTCTTTATTTCATATCGAGACTCTTTTCTTTCCACGATTTTTCTTAATTATTCAGCCTCTTTCATTTGTTCACTCCCTTTGTCTTTTATTACATTGCCTTAATGTTCTTTCTGGTTTCTTTATAATATACACCTTTGCGCAATTTAATTGAGACAAAACGAATAATTCCCTCATTATTCGTATGTCCATTACATTAAGTCGTTCCTTGCAGATTGACCACGGATTCTCGATTGGATTTAAATCATAAGAGTTTCCGAACCAGTCGATAGTACTTTGATTTGCTCACTGCTACGGCTAGTGTGTTCAAGCAGCGTTAAATTTTCATACGCTTCCTTGGAGTAATTGTTATGGCCTGTTTAGGGGCCAGAAAGAAAGACAGGGAAGACGAAGGTAGGTTGAAAAAATATATATAAGATATATATATATATATATATATATATATATATATATATATATATATATATGTGTGTGTACAAAACAACAGTGTTAGTAATAAGTAGATTAGCACTGCGTCTACTACTCCACTCCACTTCACCATCTTCTCATCCGACTCTCGCAGTTTGTATTTATGAGAGGAGGAAGAGTTCATTATACTGTAAGAGGGTTTACCACAACAGTAACGTCCATTGCAGACAATGGTCGTAGGACAACTAATCGACAGTCGAGAAAATAGTGTCTGGGTGTGATGAAAATCTGATGCAATCACGGATGACGTAATATTTTTCAAGGCCAAACAAATTTTATCATGCACTCCAAAAATTGATTCATATTGCTACACATCACGGCAAATGACCGAATCTGAGTAAAAATTAGAAATCGATTACATTCTAAAAACCGACCGGAAAGGAAATTAAAGCGGTTGTTTCAATTTCAAGGGTGTATATATGTAAACAACTTGCATGTCACGTCTGTTGGAATTGACGATGTGCGTTTAAGATGCAGCTGAGTTACGATCCATTTTTTTCTGTTCCGTGATTGTGCAGTTGCCATAGGTATGCCTTGTCTGCGTGTGTTTAATCAATGAAATGTTAGCGTTTTTTGAGTGGCTGTTAAACATATTATGTATATTTAATTCTGTGTGCAGTGGCATTCCTCTTAAAACGTTAACGGCTTTTTTCCACAACTTTATAGAACTTTGCCATTAATTTTATATATATATATATATATAAGCAAGTCTAAATGGATTTAAATCCGACAGAATGTATGAAAACAAACAAAAATCCATTTTGTAGTTAAAATGAAACAATTGTCGACGTCAGACGTTTCTTTTAATAAACCATTTTCAAGACAAAATTCATTAAAATACAAATTAAGTTCAATATGACGAAAGCGATGGACATAAAAACACAAGTCTTATCCAAGAGTTAAACAGATAATAAATTTATATATATATATATATATATATATATATATATATATATATATATATATATATATCCTTATTACTGTTCTCCGAACCATTTATGGATAAGCGTTAGGTATGTAATTCGTTGCGTTCCTCTGTCCCTCTCCATTTGAACTGTGAGTGTCAAATTCTCCAAGCCCTCTTACCACATTATTTACGCTAAAATTTTAATTGTCTCTTTCTGATTCTAAGAAGAAGTTTCCATTTTGTTTCCATTTTCCCATTACTTCCTCATTACTCACATGTTTAGTCCATGGCATTCTCAGCATCTTTCTGTAGTATCAGATTTCCGTTGCCTGACGTCAGTAATTGTCCAGCATTCAATGCCATATAGGAAGACCGATATTAAAATGATATTTCAACCCTCTTTTCTTTGTTTGTAATGATTTTTCTGTTGTTTTTTTTTTAAATATTGTTTGTCCACTTAAAGCTCTTTTAATTTCTCCGCTTAACTGGGACAATGGTTATGTGGGACTATTTATTATTGCAAACAGATTCTGACCTATTAAACCTTATTTTAATTTCTACGTTTACATGGGCTTTTTGCTAATTTGGATAATTTATGATTGGCCCAGGTTTTGCCCTATTAAACCATTTTTAATTTCTCCGCTTAACCGAGACACTTGTTGAGTGGAACGATTTATTATTTCCCCGGCCTTGCTGTACCAAGCCTCTTTTCATGTCTACGTTTAACTGGGACTGTTATTAAGTGGGACGATTTAT